GGCCGCACGAGGACTCCAAGAGGCCCAACAAGATGACCCCAAGAGGCGCCCAGATGGCCCCCAAACGGCCCACAAGAGGCAGGCAAACGCCTGCGATGGCACAATACGGGACGGCGGGATGAGCGAAGCGATTGAATGATGACGCCAACGCTGCAGCGGGAGCACGATCCGGAACGAGCGGAAGCGCGGAAATGAGGCCAGTGCTGCAGCGGGAGCACGATTCGACGCGGGCCCGATATTGAGGCCAGCGCTTCAGCGAGAGCAGCATCCTGAAAAAAACCCAAACAAAAACTCAAGCGAAAACCCAACTCCCGGGCATCCTGTGTAAAAAACCAGTACGCGGGGGGGGCCGGACTGTTCCCAGACGTCACCAGGGAAAAGTCGTATTCATATTGTGTAATTGTGGAGGGGCAGGGGGAGGGGCAGGAGGAGGGGCCAGGGAAAGCAGAGAAGGGAGGGAGGGGGCGGAGAGGCAAGCCTAGGTGCGCTCGTGCCACGTCGGACATCCTACCCCTCCCACACACATACCTTCCCATTGCGCTGTTGTTGCTCGATCTGCCGGCGCATGCCATAACAGACCTGGAGAGCCAAAGAGCACCCCTCCGTTTTATGCGCACTCGGAACAAAAAGGAGTTGCGTACATTGGAGGGGGAGCTGGCGGATGATCAAAACGATGAGCAGGACGAAATGGAGGAGGAGGAGGACGACAAACAGCAGCAGCAGCAGCAGCTGGAGTGGAAGGACCAGGGAACAGCGGAGGGGAAACGAGGGGGGCGGCAACTCTGAAGAAGGATCCATAACAAATTGCCCGCCTCTGGGCAGGCGGGGGAGGGAAGATATGGGGGGAGGGGCGGGGAGCTGACCCCCGAGCGCGCCACCCGCTGCTCTCGCGTCGAGTGCAGCGATCCGGGGGCCCCTGGTGGGCCCTCACCGAAGGTCACTCCAGCTGAAGGCTCTTTCCTACGTGTAGCCGCGTAGCCGAGCAGAGGGAGTGGCAGAGAGAACACGGCACTGGCGAAGGCTGGAGACAGGCCACGCCAGCACCGCGCCACATGGCAGAGGCAGAAGAGGCAGCGATCCTCGCCCACAGCCACGCCAGTTCACTGAGAAGGCACCAGAGATCGGTCTCTTCTCCATTGGAGGTAGCAAGTGCTACCCCTGAGGGGGGCGCGGTCGGGGGGGTCACGCTGACGGCGGCCGCGGCGTGCACCCGCCCGGGGGGGGTCAGAGCCACCAGCACATCAATCGCCTGTGTGCACCACACTCCCAGTGCACACAACAATGCTCAACGCCTGCGTGCCAGTCCCTGTGTACACGACAACTCCAAATACCTGCGCGCGACACAACGCAACCTGCGTACACCGCAGTGCCGTTGTACAACACAACAGCCTTGCGCACCACCTGTGTCCACCAGTGCCTGACACTGCAGCAGCCGCGTGCGCAGCAGCGCCTGTGTACACCACAGTGCCTACGTGCACCAGAATGCTTGTGTACACCACATTGCCTGTGTCCACAACATCAACAATATGTACCAAAGCGCCTGTGCAAACCCCGACCGGGAACTGCCGACTGCGGTGCACACTACAACAACCATATGCACCGCAGCGTACGCGCACGCCACAATGCCTGCGTGCACCACAACGCCTGTGTACACCGCAGAGCACTGGCCCTGGGTGCACGCCGATGCCTGCATGCGCCGGATCGCCTGTGCACTCCTAACTCCTTACAATGTATTCTGGAAACTGCAGAGATTCACGCATGTGGCGTGCTTGCAAGCATTACCGTTACGGGGGGGCGCTGGGAGGGGTAACACGTGTTACCCCTTAGTAGGGACCATCATGCATGGCCAGAGCAGGATCTACGAACCTCCAACCGGTAAACTGGGTCGAATCGAAATGTGCGTCGGATCGAACTGCATCGGCACGGGGTCCAAATCGAATCGGATCGGCTGCGCCAACATGCACAGCAGCGCTGTGCATTAATCGGATCGCGTCGGATCGCTGAGAAATGGAAGCCAAATCGTATCGAGTTGGCCGAAACCGACGTCGCATCGATTTCGAATCGAAGCCAGCAGCTAGCGCCCTACCAGAAGGAACGCCAAATAAGGAACAAAAGGTATGTTCTGGCCACGGCGAGCCTCGGCTTCGAGTTGGTTCCCTGTCCTAGATCCAAACCCGAGTGGTCCTTCTTTGGGAAGACAACTACTGGGTGGTCTTCGCCGGTAGATTTGAGAAAATTAGGCCCACTGGGGGTGCGCTACGCCGGATTAGGCCGCGGATTCAGTGGGACTGAGCAGGACTATGCGGGATTAGGCTGGATTGCGAGGGGTCGAGCCGGATTGGGCCAGATGTCGCCAGAGCAAAGTCAGAGTGTGCCCTGCCAGAAGTTGCATCCCGACTTGTTTCAGCCTCTGGAGCCCACTGGGGCAACACGCCCCTGGGCAAACCAAGCACAGCCCCCCTCTCTCCTCCGCTCCCTGCGCCTTCCTCCGCCGCGTCCAGTGCCCCTGACTCCTCCTCGCCTCTTTCGGGTGGGGGGGGGGGGGGGGCGGCTCGCTGCCTGCCCGCTGGGGACCCGTGCGGCGGGATTCCCTGCGCCTTCAGGCCGCTGCTCACCATCTCAGCGTCTTGACTGTACAGTCGGGCCGCTGAAAGAAGGAACGCTAAATAAGGAACGAAGCCTCTTCTTGGCCCTGTAAGCGCCTCCGTGCCCCAGGAGGGCAAGAGGAACAGCACTGGAGGAACCTAAGGAACATCGAGCCCCTTCCGAACCCAAACTGTTCCTTGTCTCAGCGTCTTGACTGCACGGCCCACTGCGAAGCGGCAGATCAGCACCAGAGGGGGCGCTGCGGAGGAAGGGGCCGGCCGCGAAGGGGGCACCGCGGGCAGGCGTCGAGCTGCATCCTCGTGGGCGCCTGGTCTGTGCCGTCGCGCCCCCCAGCCGAGTCCATCCCTGTCAGGCTCGTCGAGGCCGCGTCGAGTCCACATGGAATCCCTGCGAGTCCATGCCAAATCCGCGTCGAGTCCGCATCGAGCCCGCGCCAGGCACAAGCGGAGACACCAATCTGGGGGACAGACGAAGTCCCCCGAAGATGCAGTCAGGCGAGGCGAGGCGGTCAGGACGTGAAGTTCTTAACGAAAGTGCAGTGGCCAAGGCTCCGGGCGGGAGTCGCGCCAACGCGGGCCCTAGGGGCGCGGGCTGCCCGCCCGCACAGGGCGGAAGGACGGAGAAGCCAGGCGGGAGAAGGAAGGCATGCGGCTGCTCATGCGGACGGCAGCAAAGAACCCCTGGTTTGATGAATCGCGACAACGCCCGTGACAGTCCCCGCCCCTCTCCTCCCCCATACCCCCCTCCCAGAGCCCCCACGGGTCACACCACGATTCTCGCTGGCGCCGTCTGGGAGTTGGCCATCCGCAGGCATTCCCAGACGGCGACGGGGCGAATCGTGACGTGATTGGCCCCTTCCCCAACTCCTGACCGTCCCCGTCGTGCTCAATATCGCCTCGGTGTACCAGCAAAAAACAAGATCGGGGGCGGCCAAGAGGGGGGCGTCCAAGGGGGGGGGGGGCGCAAATCGTGGCTGGCGGCACGTGCGCGGCCCAGGGGGGGACCCAGGGACGTCATGAAATCAGACGAGGCGCAATGAAATCTGAGGAAATACCATGGCCGCCGCCACGACATCCACCCCCCCCAATCGGGGGGAACGAAAGGGGGGGATAGCAAAAGGTAGGGTATATCATTAGCTCACGTAGCTGATTTTCCTGGCGCCTCCCGGCGCCGGGAGGCGCCCATGTAACATGTATCGAGGAATGGGCCCGGCGGCGGGGCTGTGACCAGCTGCATGTAGCAGATGTCGTAACGACCCCTTTCCCTATCCCCACCTTTCGTTCGGCCCCCCCTGGTTCTCACCCCCCTCCTGGCCGCCCCCGGCAAGGAACTGTCCCAAGGTGGCGGCCGGGCCACCATTTTCGGCAGGCGGCCCGTATGGGGAGCGACGGACGCTTTTGTCCGCGCGGGAAGTCCAGCGAGGCGGCGGAGACAGATCTTCATCGCGGGCCCTCCGAACGCAAGCTGCGGAACGGAGCTTCGAATCGGGGGCGCTGAAGGGGGGGCGTCCAAGAGGAGGGGTTGGAGATCATGCCACGAGGCACGTCCGCGGACGAGGTGGGGACCAGGGGACGCGTCGAAAGAGGAAGAAGAAGGAACCATAAAATAAACAATGATATCAACTTCCCATTGCCATCACCCCCCTCTTGCTTGGACGCCCGGAATGGGTACGGAAAAGATGGGAACAATTCCCAACCGCTATCGTTGTCCCAAACCCACAGCGGCTGCTGTTGGGCAGGCGGCTTTCTGCCTTCAGTGGGAACAACGTCCGCGGCGGAGCGGACAGCGAGTCCTGTTCATATAGGGCTCCTAGATGGGGTCCGAATAGATGGGGTCGGAGGATCGCGCCGCATCGCACATGCATCGCCGATAGATCGACGATGCATATCGGCGATGCATCGGCGATGTCGGCATTGGGAAACACGAGCTCCATATCGAGCCGCATCGTCGAAGCATCGGCGATGCGGCGCGATCCTCCGACCCCATCTGCTCGGACCCCATTTAGGAGGCCTAGAGTTCAAAATGAACAGGGATCCGTACCCCTTTCGAGCGTCTCGATCGTGGCAGCCCCCGATAGAAGAATGGGGGAGGAGGACCACGAGAAGAGCGGATGAGGAGGAGGAGGAGGAGGAGGAGGAGGAGGCGGAGAAGGAAGAGGAGGAAGAGGAGGAGGAGGAGGAGATGGGTGCGGCTCCAGGGAGGAGGACGCTGAAGAGGACGTTGGTAGAGGTGGAGGAGGAGGGAGGCGGGGGGTGAAGGAAAAGGTGGGAGGGGGGAGGATAGGGGGGTGGATGGGAGGGAAGGGGAGAGGAGAGAGGGGGCCTCGGAAGGGAAACGGGCCAGTACCAAGCAGAGGCGGAGGGGGGGGGGCAGGCTGGGTGGAGAGGGGCGGCCTCTGCCCGCGCCAGCGCGGCTGCCAAGTCGGCCTGCGGTTGCTGCGGTGACGAAGGCCCTCCTCTTCGTGCCGCCCTCCTCCTCCTCCTCCTCCTCCTCCTCCTCCTCCTCCTACTCCTCCTGTTAGGAGGCAAATAGGGAGGGCTTCGTCGGAAGGATTCAGGGAGAATTCATCCCAATGGGGGGCTATTACGCCAAATCAGGCCACGGATGGAGCAAGATTAAGCAGGATTAAGCGGGATTAAAACAGGCTAAACCGGACAAAACCCGGTTAAAGGGGACTGCGCCGGATTAGGCCAGATTTCGGACCAGGGCAAAGTCAGAATTTGCCCTCCCAGGAGTTGCATCCGAACTCCTGCTCCCCACCCTCCTCCCACAAACCCCCTCGCGTCGCGATGGAGATCACCGCGGGCGGTTTCTGTTAGGCTCGGCCCCTGGGGGCCCTGGCCAGTTCTGAGGGCCGTCAGAAAACGACTCGGGATGGCAAGCTGGTCCCAGGGTATTGCGGTATGGGTCGAGGAAGAGGAGGAGGAGGAGGAGGAGGAGGAGGAGGAGGAGGAGGAGGAGGAGGAGGAGGAGAAGGAGGAGGAGGAGGAGGAGGGGGGTCGACGTTGCGAGGAAAAAAGCATGGCGCGGGGGGTCTGGGCCTCGCCCCCCCCACCGCCTCCTCCCCCAGTGCGTCCTTCCCCTTGTCCTCCTCCTCCCCGTCCTCCTCTGCCCCACGCTCCTCACTAGTCACTAGAACGACTCCCCAAATTCCTCGCGTCAGTGACACGCAAGGTTCCTTCCGAACAACACTCGCCAAAGCGTCTGGTTGATGGCACCCCGACCCGACCCAGTGTGCTGGTTTGCGCGGCTGCGTGCGCTGTGGCAGTGGTGGACTCCCGCGCACCTCGTGGCGATCATACTTAACCCACCTCGCGTTCGATGTCGGGGCTGTGCCTTTCGTGTTGCTCCCCCTCCACCAAGTTGACTCCGCTCTCCTACGATTTGCGTGTCCGTGGAATCGTAAAATCGGCGATGCGGCCCCTGCGCTCCCGGCCCCAGCCCTCTTCGACGTGGCAAGCGTGGACAACGAATGAAGAACGGTTCGCGGGCTGTTCTGGCCCAGGCCACAAGCTGGACCCCTCGAGGTCTGGCAATGGCAGGCATCGCCTGGCCACCCCCAGGCCCCGCTGTGCTCCGCACCACGCCCGCGCCCTTGAGGCCACACTCGCTGCCTTTTTCGCGCAGCAGGGATCCAGGCCACCCCCCCTGCGATGCCACTCGACGGGCATTCTGCCTGCTTGGGCCTGGGCCTCCGGGAGCCGCCTGTGCGTCTCGGGCTCCAGCTCGACACTCCGGGAAGCCTGGCCCTCGCGCAGCCAGGCCAGCTCTTCCATCGGCGTGGGGAGGGGAAGCCATCCTCGACGACGCCCACCGCGGCAGCATCAATCTCTGCTCAAGACCCGGAGCCATTCGGCGGCGAGCGGGGGCGGGGGGGGGGGCAAGTGAGAAGGAGGAGGCCGTCTCAGAAGGCGGCGGGGCTTCTCAGGAGTCCCCCAGCCCTCTGAGAAATGTTCTGCGTCTTCGGAGAAGGCTTAGAAAACTTCTCGGAAGGCCTGGGGACTTTCGAGCCTTCTGGGAAGGCCCGCCCCCTCCTGACCAATGCTTCATCCCCGATTTATCCCCGACGGCCCCTGGGTCTTCACTGGGACCCTGAGGGCGACCGCGAGGAGAACCCCTCCACGACCCCGCTCTCCTGCCAAGCCCGGCCAGCCACGGCTGGCCCGGTACTCGCACGCGGCGCGCCGCCCGATCCCTCGGTGGCGCTGTGGGGAGGTAGGCATCAACGGACAGACTGATACTCGCCCTCGCTCGGACGTCCATTGCCCGTGCATTTCTGGATGTCGTGCGTGTAGATGTATCGCAAGATGGTCCAAGATGCTCCTCGATGGTCTGCGCCGAGAAGAGAGAGAGAGAGAGAGAGAGAGAGAGAGAGAGAGAGCACACGTCCGAGCGATGCCAACAGTTCACGAAGTGCAGACAAACCTGGAGAGAGACGCTCCGCCGCTCTGCCTCCAGCAGCATTCAACTGTCCGATCAGCAGAAAGCCTCCTGGCGCGCCCCTTCGATCGCCCTCGTCCAGGGCCCGCGGTGGCCGCGCCAACTCCTCTGGCGGCTGCACGGATCTCGCGGGGTACAATGCGAGGAGCCGCGGGGCCGGGAAGAGGCCGTGCCCTGCACGCCCAGAGCCGCCTGGAGGCTCCGCGGGGAGACCCGGGAGCAGGCTCGGCGACGCCACCCAGCTGGAGCGATGCCCCGCCGTGGCCTCCTGGGGCTGCTGCCACACAAAGCGGCCGCCGTAAATGTCGATGTATGTGTGTGTATATATATATATATATATATATATATATATCCGCCGGACCCCTTGCGGGGCCATCAGGCTGCGAGGATTAAGGCTGCTGCTCCCTGCACCAGTTCCAGTTTCCAGTTCCCATTGTTACAATACTGCTTTCTGCTTCCGATTGTAAATTGTTACTGTCCGCGCGAGGGGGGGGGGGGGGGGGCGAAAAGGGCCCTGGTTAGCGTCCCCCAGGAGGGTTCTCAGAATTTCTGGGGGAGCGTGGGACACGTAAAAATACGGGAGTTTCGCGCCCCCGAAGCCAGACTCCCTCGCACATTACTCTGTATTCGCGCCCCCGAGGCCACGATCCTTTGTAAATTACACCACATTCGCGTCTCCGAGGCCACGATCCCCCGTAATTTACACCACAGTTGCGTCTCCGAGGCCACGATCCCGTGTAAATTACTCCACATTCGCGCCCTCGAGGCCACGATCCCTCGTCATTTACGCCGCACTCGCGCCCCCGAAGCCACGATCCCATTTAATTTATATAATGTTCGCGCCCCCGAGGTCACGACCCCTTGTAAATTACAACAAATTCGCGCCCCTGACGCCACGAACCCTCGTAAATTACACCGCGGGCGCGCCCCCGAGGCCACGAATCCGCCTTGCGGAGGCTGCCGAAAAGGCGCTCCCCCTCTCCAAAGCAGAAAAACTAGAATTTTCTGTATTGGGATATGTGCTCCGCTGTTATTCTTTCGCCCCCCTCCCCCGTTTCTGGAAAATTCCGCGGTGGGTTCCACATTCACCCCCCCAGGCCACGATCCCTCGTAAGTTACGCCACGCTTGCGCCCCTTAGGCCACGATCCCGCGTGAATTACGCCACATTCGCGCCACCGAGGCAACGATCCCTCGTAAAGTACGCCGCTGTCGCGCCCCCCAGGCCACGATCCCTCGTAAATTACGCCACATGCGCGTCCCCGAGGCCACGATCCCCCGCAAATTACACCAAATTCGCGCGCGCACCCCCCACACTACGAATCCACTTCGCGGAAACTGCCCAAAGGCGCCACTCCTTCTCCAGAGCAGAAACAAAAAACCTTCCCGGAGATTGCCTTAAGCAATCCCCAGCCGTTCCCAGAGCGCTTCCAGTGAACAACTGGAGGAAAATGCCAAGAAGGCAACAACGCGTTCAACAACAACTTCAACATCTCAATCTGTTTTGCTCATCGCCAGCCGCCCTAGCATGACGTTCCCGAATGTCACCAAGACGGCGCCCGAACATCCCAATATAGCTCTGATGTATCCCATTATGATAGACAGGGGGCCGGCGGCAAGGGGCGAAGCCCTTACGGATATATATATATATATATATATATACATACATATACATACTAGAACCATCGCGCGCGCTTCGCGCGCGCTCAGGTTCTAGCCCAGGACGGGGGGGCGCTGGACGATCTTGGACAACGTTATCAAGCACAGGCGCGCGACGGCATCTGAGGAGCTTCTGGGGTGTTCCGCATGCTTCGTCAACTGGCTGTTGGAGGCACCTCTTGGGTGCCTCTTGAGGGGGCGTCTGAGGGTCCCTTGGGGGCATCGGCTCTGCAATCTGAAGCCGTCATTGGCCGTCTTGGCTGCGTGGAGGCCCGACTTGAGGCCACCTGCGGCCAGATTGAGGCAACGGAAGCCTCCCGGGGGCCTCCTGGAAGCAGTTTTGACGCATCGAGGGTGGGGTATGTTAAAACCTCTTGGACGTCTCCTAAAGGCCTTTTGGGCCCTCGGGAAGCTTTTGGGGTCCTCTTGCGGCCTCCTGTGGGCCATTTGGGTGGAACGCTCTGCTGTTGGGTCGCGTTCCCCTTCTTGGGCCTCTCTTGGGGCTCTTGGGGCCCTCTCGGGCCGTCTTGGGCGCCTCAAGCACCGTCTTGGGGCCCTCGCGGGCCGTCTTGGGGCCCTCTTGGAGGCCTCTTCCTCTACATTGGAGCGGTATTGGAAGCCTCTTGGGCCGTCTTGGAGCTTCGGGATGCCAAAAGGCCGAAACAATTAAAACCCGTCAAAGTCCAATCGTAAAACAATGAGTTGTGCCTCTTGGGGCCACCTTGGGAGATCTCTTGGAACCTCGTCGGCCCTCTTGGGAGCTTCTTGGGGGCCTCTTGGATTCGATTGGGGGCCTCTTGGGATTTCCCGAGAACCTCTCGGGGTAGAAAGCTCGGATTCTCAGTTCGAGTTTCCCTTCTTGGGCCTCTCTTGGGGTCGTCTTGGGGCCCTCGCGGGCCTTCTTGGGCGCCTCAGGCACCGCCTTGGGGCCCTCGCGGGCCGCCCATGGCCCTCTTGGAAGCCTCTTCGGCTATCTTGGAGCTGTCTTGGAAGCCTCTTCCTCCTCCTCGTCCCCCTCCTCCTCCTCCTCCCACTCCAGCTCTCTCTCCTCCTGATCTTCCTCCTCCTCCTGCAGCGTGTTCCGGAAGGCTCCCGCCGGAACATGCTGTGCACAAGTGCTGTCACTGCTCCCGCCACAGTGCCCTGGGTGGTGGGTCAGAGGCCTGATGGGTGTTGGTTTGGATCTCGTGGTTGGCCTGTCGGGGACGTCGTGAAGGCAATTACGCAGCTTCTCGGTAGCGGTTTTGGGACCGTTGTGGGGCCTCCTCGGGGCTGTTTTGTGGCCTCTTTAGGCATCGTTTGGGCCTCCTGGGTGCCTCTTGGGGGCCT